GCAGCCATATCAGTATATCAGTACCAGTGTCAGTTCCAGTACCAGTTCCAGTTCCAGTTCCCGAATCGGTTCCACGAGGTATGCAGTCGCCTCAATTTCGTTGAATGTGTTCCTTAGCTGTGTTATGCCCAGTGTCCTGTATATTGTAGTTGCTGTCTGTATTGTTGTCGTACCAAACTGTTGTAAGAATCTAACATTAAAGCTAAGTCGTAGTGAGAGTTGCCGTTAACTTCTAAACTAAGTAACTGCTCCCTGTCATAACAAATACTAACACCAATGTATGTGTTCCACCAGACACTCTCCAAGACACCAAACACTCTCTCAGATTATAACAAAACAGAAGTACAACCAACCAACACACACACACACACTTAATGTTAAGATTCTAGTTAAAGCTTAACTTCAAGTTCAAGTTCATGTTAAAATTTACAGATTTAGTTATTTAGTCTGCTGCCCTATACATTCTTCGTACACTAACGACACATCTAACTGATCATACGAAACTGTCATACGATACACTAACGGAACCCATCTACTTCAGCCATATACATGACATTATTTGTATATCGTATAGTGCCTAGCAGCGTCTGTATTTTGCTTTCATTTTCATTTCAGTTTCATTTCGACTTCTATTTCTATTTCCGTTTCCGCTTTCAGTTTCCCGTCTCTAATGCACGCCATTTCCGTTTTGAGCATGCTTGGCCAACTAGTTATATGAATTAGCCAACTTTCGCCTAAGCCTATAAAACTATTAAATAAATTTTATGCTTGCAGAGGACATTGTAATTAATCAATGTATAATGGTATATGGTATAAATCTAGATGTGATTTAAGTTCATTTGTGGATACGATCGATCAATCTTCTGTAATGTATGTTCTCTGTATTAGACAGAGCTATATGAGGCCGAAGAGTGCTGGAGTCCGCCTCGTAGTCGTAGTTAACGTTGTTTACTTTCCTTTATTAAGTCTCAAATTTTTTACATATAATCCAAAAATTGTATATGGTATGAAAATAAAATAGAAAATCCTCATCATGCAACTAACCCGATTGCTAAGCAGTCTCTCATCTGATTCGCCTCTGCAAGTGTATGTCATCTGCGGCAATCCGAAGATAACTTTTCTCATTACTATTTATTTGCCATAAAAATTCTCATATTATTATGTAGAGTGCATAAGTAGGCCAGCGTGCTTCTGTGTAGTCTAGTGCTCGCTCGAATGCATTTCTATTTCCTCAGCTGACTCACGTAATCCTGTCAACAGGCTCCACTCGAGTTAACTGAATGCCAGCCTTGTTATCGCTTAGCTTGTTGTAGTTGTTGTTGTTGCCGTTGCCGTTGCTCTTAATGTTGTTATTGTTGTTGAGCTCTATCCGTTTATGCGTACCACATGCTCTGCGTATTAAGTTGAAAAATGTAATAAACATTCGCTACGTGCTCCCCACAGGCTCCCAGTCGGAATCTCATGGCAGCGCCAGCAATGCGTCAGCCGTTTCGGTACGTTCAAACCGCAGCAATTCGGTGGCGCCCGGCAAAGTGTCCGGCGGCGGACATCACGAGCGCCACGGCTCCTCGCACCGCCAGCATCACTCGCAGCTGCAGTCACCTCAGGAGGAGTCGCTGATAACGAACATAACCACAAATCCAGTGGCCGAAAGCGTGACCGTTGAAATTATTGAGCCCGGACATAAGTAATGCAGTAAATGCGTAGATATATATATATATAGACAAAAGTATATATATGTATTTAGAAAAATATTATATACTCACATCGTCGTTTAGTATGCACGCGATAATATGGCGCCTACGGGCCCATCATAATGCCATGTTTAGAACCCTTTTTTAATGAAAACATTTTTTGCAATTAATGGACAATTTTTCCAAAGCGTATTACAAACTTTTGCAGAACCATACGACAAACAAATGCTAATTACTTACTCACATATACATAAACAGCATATATGTATATATCTATATATACATATACAATATATGCCTAGTTATTATATAGCAAGCGATGTATATATTGTATTGGATATATGCGACTACACCATGAAAAAAAACTTTCGAAAAAAACCTTGCATAACAAATTCATACTACTCTTTATTTCAAAAAAAAAAAAAAAAAAATTAAAAAAAATATTTAAAAAAAACAACCAAATTAAGATCATAAAATTTAAATCATTTCTTAATTTATATATAAATATTGTACGCAGATTTAAAGCTTTGGGTTCGATAGCTGTAATAGAACCTTTGCCTAAGCACCCAAGCAACAAGAAATTTCGTAGAAATGCAAACAACGGTTTTGTAGCAAAATCGAGTTGTTGGTATAATCCTTACACCAAATAGGAAAAGCGAAAATCATTGCCAAAAACAACAACTGGAACAAAAACAACCAAATACAAAGCCGATTATGTACAATGTACATGAGCACAACGCCTTATCTTATCTATACCTAACTAGAAGCAGAGTGGTACCGGTTACAATATATACACACCTCTATATATCTGTATTGCTATATAGAAAGCGCAAGTTCCGGCCACACTTCCAATTGCTGCTATAGCTCCCAAAATATGTATATTCAAATTCTGTAAGCCAACGCTAAGAATAAATTGAAATAAAACAAAAATGAAATATTAATGGCAAGAAATATTAAAAACCTCGGGACCATATTTTATAATCAAAATATGCGTTTCAATTAATGAAGCACGCACGTTTTAGTTCCCACTAACATTCTTTTGTCAAGTGTTTTACTCGAAAATAATTTTTAAGCTAGATATTGTTAAACGCTGGCTGAACTAAGTTTAGGGAACACACACAAACACACTCAAGAAAGAAAGAAGATGGAATAGAAGCAAAATGAGAGAAACGAGAAGCATGAAGCGAGAAGGTAGCACCAATGCACACTTAAGTGCCGTAGTTCGAGTAGTTAGCGCCTAACTAAGTATAATCTATATACGAGTAGCTGCTTAATAAAATAATCTAAATTGACTTCCAGTTAAATTTACAATCTTTCGGTTCTCTGCAACACATCTGCAACATTTTGTGTTAAATTTTGATTTACACGTGAGATAAGTGCAAAACGCCCTAATTTAATAAATTTAACGTATTTTTGTTTCTTCCTTTTTTGGAACCCTCTGGAATGGTTGATTGAGAACTCAGCATGGGACGGGCTAAGAATAGGGGAAGATTCTTAGAGCGTCCTGTGCTGAGTTCACATTAAGCTGACCGCAAATAAATTTAAATATATATATACACACACATATATATA